AAGCAGCAAAAATGATTACTTTTTAAAAGTTCTGCCCCTTGAGTGCACAGTTTATTATTTTGTGTGACAAATGGGAGGCAGGCATAAGGTACTTCTACACATTGAAGGGCAGTGATCTCTTGACAAAACTTACCATCTGATGGTTTGGGTTGCAAGCTGAGGTAGCCATTTTTTAATGGAACACCATTTTTACTTGAAAGAAGGACAGAAGAACTGTGGTTATTCAGACTTTGGTGTCTGGCAGAATTTCTAGAAAAGGGATGAAGTGAGCCTGCCACTACATGGCCAAAAACTGGCAGTATTTGTTGCCAGAGATAACATTCAAGCTTTCTAGTGAAAATTGGATTTTGGAAAACTTACATCCTACCGTGAGCATGACCACTTCCCAATATTTAATGACTTTTCTGATGAAATTGGTAGTGATATCACATATGTGATTTTCTGATATGAGGAAATATATCAACATTTGGAAGAGTGGCGTAACCCAGTAACTAATATATTCCAAATAACTGATGTCACAAATTTTTTCTTGGGTAAAATATCCATTCAAAGTATAGAATTTAATGTAATTTAATTTAATGTAAGAATGAAAAGTTGGCATTCTACATTGCAGCTCACTTTTGAGAAACACTCATTTATCAAGTTTGAGTGTGGTGTCAGAGAAGAATATCCACGATTGTCTGGAAAGATTATTAAAATATGATTCCCTTTCCAGCTAAGTGTTCATGGAGTTCTTCTCTCTTCGTATACTTCGTCATGTTGCCACTGATTCAGGGCAGAAGCAGGGGTGAGAATCCAGATGTTTCCTATTAAGCAAAATGTAAAACAGTGCTGCTCTCCCGATAAATATGCTTTGTTTTGTAAAAGAGAGTTTTCATAAAATTCTTTTGTATATGTTAACATGTAATGGGTTTAGTATTGTTAACTTAAAGATGAATTAATAAATAAATGTTTAAATTTTTTTCATTTTCACTTCTAGTGTAAATATAGTCCTAGCTATAACCCACATACACAAAAGCTATTGGGATCCTTAGTAATTTTTAGATTTTAGTGAAAGAATCCTGAGATTGGCATGTGAGAAGCGTGTGTCTCAGCTGGTCTCCTTTGGCACACGCTTTACGATCTTACACATTGTACTTCCCTTACTTAACCAGAAGGCCTTTTATTCTTCTCCTATTTTAACATTTCTGAAATTGGGATGCATGTTTCTTCAATTTATGTGTATAGTTAACGTAATGTTTCTCTAACTCCCCCAAAATCAAATGATGCTACTAGTTAATATCATTGTATGATTTCTCAGTGTATGTCATTCTACTTGGAAAACAACAAAATTCTTTCTTTTAGAAAATTTTGAAACTAACATTTATATCTGCAAGCAGCTGGAAATGGAATTTATTTTCCAATGAATTGTTGAATAATAGAAGTAATTTCATGATTTGGGTAGTGAGTGATTCAGCGCTGAGCCGGGTGCCTGAAGTTCTGGCAGGGAAATTGTTCCTGTGCTCCCCATGTTCCTTCTCTACGCCTCAGCTTTCTCTTCTGTGAAGCGAGTCACATGTTTCTCCACTATGAGTAACGTAGAGACTTACCTGAAAAAACAGATTCAGATCCCAACAAGTTAAGTAATTGGTTCTAGTACGTTACTCAAACTTGTGTGTGTGTACAAACTGGATAAGGATGCCTTACAATTTTCACACAACCGTAAAACCAAGGAAGAAATTCTAAACTAATAAAAATGCAAGCTTACAGCATCAGTGTGAGAGCCAACGATGTGTTGCTGAGTCAGTTGCAGGTGGTGTGAACGTGGATGACGCTGTGGGGCAGGGGTCTCTGCATTTGGACCCAGTTATGCTGCTTGTGTAACTCAGTTCTTTCAGCTCATCAAAGTGCAAGAAAACTTTGATTTCAAGATCATTATGGTGTTGTTTGGCATTCTTTTGGTGAGAACACATTGTTTACTTTTTAAATTGAGTTGTTCTTTCCTCATTAGCTTACTAATCAAATCTAGGACACTTTCCTGAATTTGACAGGGGACACAAGTGTAAACATGGGGCCTGAAATGGCATGGGAGTGCCTGGTTACAAGGTGGTACGGGTAAAAGATCCAGTCTCTGTTCTCGTTAATGTCTTTTATAGCTATCACTGAAATGAAAACAAGAATCCAACCTGCGAAGCACTCGCAGGAAGGGCTGCCTGACAGCAGTTTCCTGGGGCTTCCTTCACAGTGCAGTTGATGTAAATGCTGCCCTGGTGCCTGTCCCAGCATCTCCCCAGAAGGGACCACAGGCAGGGTCTGCAGTCCCCACTGTCCCCTAGTCTCTAGTGCCCTCTCTTTCCCGGCATCTACAGTTTTGAGACTTATAGATATAGATACAAAGAGGTAAAATGCTAATTATTTTTGTCTGTTTCAGACTAACTGCTTAGCACAATGATCATGTCCCATACGAAAATGATGCTCCTAATTATTTATCTAATCCGAATCATATATGCAATTGATTTCTTCTGGGGAAAGTTCAAAAACAAGTAGAGTAAATGTTTTATTGTGTCCAAGCAAATTCAATGAAATTGTACAGTCCCTGAATGTATTCTGGCGTTGAATGTATTCTGTGGTTATTTTTATTATTGTGGGTGGTACCATCGGTCATTATCTCTGCACTGTTTTTGACAGCCCTTCTTTTGTGAAGTAATAGTGCTTCTTTTGGACTTATATGTAGAGAAATTGAAGTCTATGGAGATCCTTAATAACTAAGTAATTAATGACCCTGTAGTTGGAAAGAAACAGAACCCGTGTCTAAGAAGCAGTATTATAATTGCCCAGAAATATTTTATTCTTCCCCTCCCCATTTTGTTGTTTTTCTGCTTACATTTTTGCTTTGATGAATCTGGGAATAATTTTCTTAATTGGAAGAGAACTTTTTTTTTTGGTGAGAAAGATTGACCCTGAGCTAACACCTGTGCCAATCTTCCTCTAAGTTTTGTATGTGGGATGCTGCCACAGCATGGCTTGATGAGCAGTGTGTAAGTCCACGCCCGGGATCCAAACTTGCAAACCCTGGGCCACTGAAGCAGAGCCTGTGAACTTTATCACTACGCCGCTGGGCTGGCCCCAGAACCTTTTTTATAGTAAGAGCATTGTGGTATTAACACACAGGGATTCTTAGATATCTATTTTTGTGAACTTGTTTTGAGAATGACTATATAGTTTTTTCTTGGTGTGTTTTATTTTTATTTTTTTGTGCAAATTATAAGCAGTAAGGGCTGTCACAACTTAAAAATTGGAAATTATTCTTTATAATTTTCACCTGTGTGTTTCTCCCAGCAAATTAAGATAGCCACCGACAGTATTAAATTAAATGTTCAGCACATTTTTTCTCTGGTAATATTGCTCAGGTTCCATTATCCAATCCTCATGATCTAGAAGCAAGTGTTAAACGCAGTGGTATTATGAGTCACATGCTTCTGTCTTCTCGGATCATTTCTAATTGGCTTCAATGTCTTTGAGACCATTAGATTGACAATGGCGTAAATATAACCTTCAACGTCTATAAATAATCTGTTTTTAATTTAGCATCTCAAGGATCTATGTATCCACACCATTGACCAGCGCATCGACGTTCCAGACATGTGGCTCATAGACTAAATGATGAGTTTACTCCTTCACCATTATGGTTGTTTTGTTAGAGTCTTTTTATAAATATTTAATTTCCATCCTTGTTTTTGAAAATAGATTACTTGAAACATAATTTAATCCAAGTTTTTTCTCTTATATTTATTTTGCTCAGTTGATGAGTGGGGCTTTTGACTGATTCTCAGTGTTACAAATTTATGTGCTTTTATTCTCTCTGGTTTTGTAGTTCTGTTTCTTCTCTGCTGTAACATTGATCGTATCTGCCATGATGTTCTCAGTGCTACTGATGCAAATGTTAGCCTGAGTGTGTTATTGATTTTGTTATAGCAATCGCAAACAAACTCTTCTTTTATATAAATACAGTTGCTAAAACACTGTCTTTCATGTAATCGTGTATGTCAGTATATGCCAGATACTACTGCGTTCGTGTTAGCATATTATTTTCAAGATTTCCATTTTCTTAAGGATAAGTAATATATTGTGCTCTACACTTTCTGGTAGTACTTTACTGAACAAAAAAAATGTTTATTCAATAGAATCCTTTAATAGACTAGTCAGATACTGCTTAGATTCTGTATTTTTAATCCAGTAGATATGTTTAAGAGTTAGATGAGGGCCGGCCCTGTGGCCTAGTGGTCAAGTTTGGCGCACTCTGCTTCAGTGGCCCGGGTTTGGTTCCTGGATGCAGACCTATACCACTCATAAGTGGCCATGCTGTGGAGGTGTCCCACATACAAAATAGAGGAAGGTCAGCACAGATATAAACTCAGGGCAAACCTTCCTCAGCAAAAAGAGGAAGATTGGCAACACGCTAGCTCAGGGTGAATTTTCCTCAGCAAAAAATAAAGTTTGATGGAATTTGTTCCATGGCTTAGATTTGTTATTTATATTTTAGAGCATGTATGCTATTTTATTTAGAATTCCAGGGACAATAATAGCAGTCATGGTTATTATCGTTACTCTCTATGAGTGCACATTCTCTGTCTGGCACTGTTTTAAGCCCTTTATCTGACCTAGTCCTCATGGCACCTTGTGAAAGAAGTACTATTTTATTGCCATTTGCGGGCGGACGGGACTAGAGGAGAGGAGACTAGGCAGCCTGCCCAGAGCCACACAGGTACAAGTGGTGAAGCGCAGGTACAAACCCGGGCAGTCTTACTCCAGAGTGGGTCATCCCCTACAGACCACATTTCTTTGCCATAAAATGTTTTAAAGGAACTGATGGAAGTTTAATTTAAAATGCTGACCCACCGTCGCCTTAAAAGTGTCGTCCTACTCTTTAATCTTTGGGAGTTAACTTCCTTTATCCTATCATGTAGTTTTCCCGCATTAGTTATCTTTTTAAAAAACATGATGCTTTTATGTATTTATAGATATGCCTCTCCACGTTCGACGAAGCAGTGACCCAGCTTTAGTTGGCCTCTCAACTTCTCTCAGTGATAGTAATTTTTCCTCTGAAGAGCCGTCACGGAAAAACCCCACACGCTGGTCGACAACAGCCGGCTTCCTCAAGCAAAACACTGCTGGTAGCCCTAAAGCCTGTGACAGGAAGGTAACCACTGCCGTTCTGTGTCTTCTTGGTGCCAATGATGAGTGTCGACTGTTGACCCTGTGCTTCTGGGCATCCTCACTGTGGCCCTTTGGTGTGTGTGTGTCGACTTTTTCATCCAAGTTCAGATAGCTTCCTATTTTATGTTGCCCTTGAATTTTCCGATACAATTTGTGGCTATATGTTGTGTACATTTACTTATGGATCCATATTTTGAATAGATAATATATTCGTGTGATTAAAAATGAAAACTTTCGGCATGAAATGTGTGCCTGTAAGATCCCTCTCCCACTTGTCTCCTGGTCCCCTTATTTCTCTCCATGTCCAGCCCCAGTAGGAGCTTTTTGCAGTCCTTCCAGGGACATTGTAAGCAGATATTCCTATGGGCTTGGGAGGCTCATTAGAAACGATAGCATTATGTTCTGTGAAGGAAGAAAGTGGACTCCATGGTCATTTAGCCTAATGACCCACTTGATAATTTTATCTCCCTACAAAATGGAAGTGTACTGTCTAGTCTTAATAACATTTTCTTCTTTGACCTAATTTATTTAGTCTAAATAAATAAACTTTATTTTAACCTTTTTAGTCTACTTTTTTCCGATTTGTTTGTTAGGGCTCTTTGTCATATATTCCTTCAGAACCCTTATCGTCCTATTCTGTGTACCTTGCACCTTTTACCCAACGAGCTTGAAGCTGTGTTTGTGATTTTCACTGCTGATTCCATAGAATAGACTCAGTAAACATCTATCGAATGAGTTAATAAACATTTTTCAATGCAGCCAGCAATTGATCACCGTATGTGTTGAGAAATGTGGAAGTATGCTAGTCACATCTTAATATTAAAATGAATGAAGCTTGATATTTGCTTGATGTATCCTTCACATCTATGTAAAAATACCTGTTTTAAATATTTCTTTTAACTTGGTTTTACATTTCAATAAGCTATTCTTTGTACTAGTTCAAGTAAGGAGAAAAGTACATGAAATACATAAGTTTAAACTGAGCGGAATCCACCAGGTAAAGTTACTACTGTGGTCCTGGTTTTCGGGGTTTAGCAGTGAGGGCCCTCTTCTGAAATGTTTCTTATGTATTTGATGGGAGTTCATACTCGAGCATCCTCTCATTGAGATTAGCTTGAGATTTGAGAGTGCTCGATCACGCAGTGGCCCATCCAAAGAAGCAGCATCTGGTTTATGAATAGGCCTCAGGACATTTAATTTGGGTTCAGAATAGACCTAATTCACATGGATATTCACAAATGTACCAACAAGTCAAGTTGGCAGTTTAAAAAAATTCATTACTTTTTAAAAAGATTTTCACATAGTTGGAAGATAGGGAGTCAGGAGTCATCGAGGTAACTGAGGTGGTCTTTTAACTCATTCGGCATCTGGTGTGCGTGCGTCAGCTTCACTCGCAGCAAACAGAGCCGTAGCGGCTATTTTGAACATAAAAGGACTCAAGACTTAGAATTGGTTTCTCAGAAAGTCTTTGAAGAGCAGGCTGTGTGCTGGGCCTCGAGGACTGGGAACAGTGCAGTCCCACACGTCTGCTCTGCCCAGGGGAGGAGTGGGGCTGCAGTGCAGGGACCTGGGATCCCCTGACCTGCGTCTGCCCACTAGACATTAGCCCTACCTCCACGTGTGCTCACCTTGCCTCTTGTCAGCTGTGAGCTGAGCCCAGAAGTGCCTCAGCAGACTCCATCATCTCCACAGCCTTGCTCGCCAGAAGCACCAGCTCAAGAAAATGTCTTATTTCACAGCCATCGTTAAAATCTCAGGCTGTGGAATTCCAATGGGCAGGATGCAGTTTGCATCCAGATCCTTCTGGGCAGGGGAGGTTGGGAAATGGACTCTAGCCTCCAGCCTCTGCAGCACAGGGGGCTTGCTGGAAGAGGTTGAGATGCTCCTTGCCAGTTCATCACATCCACCTCACTGACTTTTTGTGTGACATAACGTGTATCTATCATTGTAGAAAAACTTGGGAAACTAGTAGAACAAAATTAAATTATTCATACTTCCAAAACCCAGTAACAATCAGTATTACAATGTTAGTGAACACGTGTGTGCACGCACGCGCGCACACACACACACACACACACAGTTGGAACCATGCTTTGTCTACATATTTGTGTCCTGATTATTTCTACATTTTTTTTCATATCATAGGGATTCCCCCTGGTGTGAATTTTATTAGAAAATATTTTTAATGAATGCAAAATATTCCACTATAGAGTATACGCTAATTTATCATTCTCCTATTGCGGGACATTATACTATTTCCTTTTTTTCCACATTATCAACATCAGTGCTACAAACTTTAATATAATTTTATTTGTTATAAAAATGGTTACTTATTCAATAAGCTTTTTCGCTATGTGGAGTGATACTTAATGTAGCCAAATGCTCACACTTTCCCACGGGAAAGGCCTTAATTTGCATACGTATCTCTAGATGAAATCATACAACACACATGACACACATCCAACATACAACACACATGAAGTATAATGTATAATGAATTTGTCTTTTGAATTTTCTTTGGCTTTACTTTTCAAATAACAACTTAACTAAACTTGCTGTCTAAACTTTAAGCTGTTTGTATTTAAAACTGAGAGTTTTTAAAAAATATGTGTATATCTGATTAAATGCTATCTTATTTTCATTTATAAAAACACTTCCCATGTTTTCAATATTCAGAGAGGGTGCTTAGAGGAAAGCATACTTACTGATCAGTGTTAAATTTATTTATTTCTGTTGAGTCCTTGAGAGCTTACCAATGCTGCACAATTTCAAAATGTTATAAATCCTTAGTGTGTAGTGGTGTAGGTTTTCTGTATAAAAACAGAAATAAATTAGTAAGGGTTCAAAGTCTTGTGATTCATTGATCTCTAATAGTTAAAATAAGCTGACATTCTTGTATAACTAAGATAAAGTGGCTTCTATTCTTCCAAATTGAATAAGGAAAACAAGCAGTTTTAGAATAATGTCAGCCATCAGGTGAAGCTCTTGTTTCTGAGCGGGGCCATCCCGTCCTGGGGTGCTCCCAGACTCCTGTGGGGGACTCTGCTGCGAGAGGTGGAGTCTTCCCAGGTAAACCGTGCTCACGTCTCGCTCCACTCTTAAGTTTAGAGGGAAACATAGACAGATTTTCATGCTCAGTAAGGCAGATAAGAATTTGGAGAGAGCAAGGGTTCCGTGGGCTTCTGGATTTCTTAAAATTTTTCATACTTTTATTTGGAGGTGAGATGTAGGGGAGAATGGAGTCTTGGCTTTTTTCCAAACTTCTTTGGGATACCTTCTCATTCCTGTTGGCCAGCGTTTTGTGACTGACTGCCTTTTCCAACTCTTTTAGAGACCATTTTTCTCACACTTTGTATGGAAAGTATCTTGCTAGAAGATGTATTTTCATTTGAGGTTTTACGTGTGCTTAATATTTCATTTTGGGACTATTTCGATCAGTGTGAACTCGTTTTGCCACCTCTTTGGTCCTCCTTGTTAAGTCAGTGTCCCTGAGAATAAAGAGGCCAACTAGTATGTGGAAAGGGTTCCGTTCATTCCGTCAAGAACGATGTCATGAGACACTTAGAGTCAGCCTACCAGGAAGTTTCAAGGGGAAAGTCTCTGTGCTGTTTCATTGTTCAGTAGTTATAAGCCATTGTTCCTTTCCCCTAAATAATGAGAGTCTTGCTTTTCTAAGTTATGTTACCCCCTCCCCCGGTTAACATAGCTAGATAAAAACAAAGTAGCATAAAAACCATGTCTAGACTAGTTTCTAAGGGAGAGTCTTACCTGATTAGGGAAAGGTGAAGAAAGTGACAAGAGAACATACTGTGTTGGCATCATTAACTTTTTTCTTTTCGTTTCTTAAAGAGAGACCTTGGAATGTTTCTGACCCCCTGGGTTTATTATTTCTGTTTGATTTAGTTCCTTAGCATATTTGGTATCTTTCCAATACCCCTGATACATACAAGCTCTTGGAAGAGATGCTGTCATAATTATGTCTTTGTCATCTCCCTTTCTTTTCCATTAAAAGAGTTGTAAGATCTTACTTTTTCTAACTTTAGGAAATTATTTTTATAAAAATTTCCTGTAGTATATTTTAAGGTTCCTAAGACAGTTTTTGTTGGTGATAATAATACGACTTGCTCTGCATTTATAAAGTAATGAAACATATGAAGAAGCAGGTCAGTAGTTTGGGATCTTGAAGATGAGTAATATCGACAGCTTGATGTTCTGGGGAACATAGCTCTGTATAGCTAGTGGCAGTCCTTATTACCAGTGGGGACTCACCCAATAAGTATAGTTTAATTTCCTGCATTTTTTCTTAGTTTGTGTTATATTGAGAACATTTTTCTATGTCTCATAAATATTGATAGCTTGCATAATGTTCTTTTAGGTACTGATTTTTTTTGTTGGTGTTTATTATCTTTATTTGGTGATTTTCCTTGTTGCTTGACATTAATACTTTTGCCTTTTTTTTTGCTTCTATAAGTAACCTTTAGAAGTACCCTGCAGAGAATATCCTTATATATCAGTTTATGTTGACATCTCATTATTTCCTTAGAATAGCTTCCTCAAGTAGACTTATTTGACCAAGGAAATGACCTTTTCAAAAACTATTGCTAATTGTTTCCCGTAAATTCGTGAATAATAAAGTGAAAAGTACTTATGATGTATAAAGCCTTATGAGAAGTCCTAGCTGGAGTGAAGTAGGGGATAAGGGGTAGGATGAGGAAAACAAAGAACCAGCCAGTACTGTTTCTGAGTTCCAGAACTTCCTGTCTTACCACTTGGCTGTGCATCAGAATTACCTCTGAACTTTTAAAGATTTTATTTTTTCTCTTTCTCCTCAAAGCTCCCCGGTACATAGTTGTGTATTTTTAGTTGTGGGTCCTTCTAGTTGTGGCATGTGGGATGCCGCCTCAGCATGGCCTGATGAGCGGTGCCACATCCATGCCCAGGATCCGAACCAGCGAAACCCTGGGCCGCCAGAGCACCGGAACT